AGTGCCGTAGAGTCCTAACCGACACCTCCTTGGGTTTCCGAGGCAGTATCACTCCAGAAGTAGATTGCCCAACCTTCCTTCCGAGGAGTGGCTGGAGGTTTTGAACCGCCAGCCTGCTGGTTAGCAGTCAAATGCTTTAGACACTATGCTACCAGAACTCCTGGAGAGGCTCAAAGCAGCTGCCATTTTAGAGATTCCCAGGGGAATGTGAGACTGTGATTGGAGAGGTCGTTTCTGTTTTGTCTTCTCATTGTAGAGTGATCAGCCTTTCCTTGAAAGCAAGAGTGGTAACCTTCGGTTGGCTAAAACCTGCTCATAATAGCGCTGGGACTTCCTGCCCTCTCTCTTTCTCTCTCTCTCTTTTTTTAAATATTCCAATCTCCAAACCAACCCCAAAACCCTCCACTGCCATTGAGTTTTCTGATTCATAGTGACCTTCACTGGGTTTCCAAGGTGGTAAATCTTTACAGAAGTAAATTGTCCTGTCTTCCTTCTGTGGAGCAGCTGGTAGGTTTGAACCACCAACCTTCTGGTTATCAGTCAAATGCCTTAGGCACTACACCACCAGAGCTCATCCTCAGATAGCTTTAAATAGAGAAGCCTACTGTAGTATCTGCCCAGGGACCACATGCCCCTCTTACCCTGATTGATAGCAGTTTAGTCTAACTAATAACTTGTAGACTTTGGCAATTTTCTTTCCCCTGCAGATTTTTTTAAAATCATGTTTTCTCAGAGCAAAATACTTTCCTCTTCTAAATATTACAAATGGTGTTGTCTGTAGAAAGAAATATAAACATCACATTTTTCATTTTGTATCATAGCAGTAACTTACTCTCTTGTTTTTCTGATAAATCACAATGAGACTTTGACATGTACACACATACATGTATGTGTGTGTGATTTTGGATATCCTTTTTCAAAAACGAAAGTTTTAACGGAGCATTTCCAAAGCAGTTGAACAGTAAAGTGCATGGCAGATAAAAAGGGCTGGGGCAGTATTTAATATTAGTACAGTCCCATTCATTAGCAGTGGTTGGCTAATACACAAGTAGCATAAAAAGTGTTTATCAGTTGTCATTGTGACCACATTCCATATTTTCTATTGGTTCTGGCTCCATGTGTTAAAAATAGTCTTGTGTTATACGGAATCTTTCTAATCACCTGTACACTCGTGGAAATACTGAAGATCAAACTGTGCAGTGATAGATTATCACATTTAGTAAATACTGGAGGAAACAAACATACTAATTTGTATAGGACTCATGGTATCTTTCTGTTCGCTACATTTTTTATTAAAACTTGAATTTTTAATTACTTCGTAGCGTGATGCTTTGATCAAAATATAGGTAAAAATTTAACAGATTCTAAGCAAATTCATGGGAGCTCTGGTGGCATAGTGCCTAAGGCACTTGATTCCTAACCAGAAGGCTGGTGGTTCAAACCCACTAGCTACTTCTCGGAAGGAAGGTGGCCAATCTACTTCCGTAGTAATACTGCTTCTGAAACCCAAGGAGGGGTTGCTATGAGTCGGGGTCGACTTGACAGAACATAACACTACCACCACAAGCAAATTCAAGGGCAAAATTAGTGTATGTTAGCACTTATAACTAGAAAAGGCTGTTGTATGTTAATAAAAGCTATTTTGTCTCATGTACTTAGTGACTTAACATTTAGGAAAAATGTAAATTTAGGAATTAACTCATTTTGCTTTCTATATATGAATCATTGGCTTTAATGTTTTAAATTCATATTTTAACAATAGCACTGTTCTCACATATTTCAATTTCATTATGTCCTATATATTACTTTGCTTTATTTTTTTTAATGTTTCTCTTGATGTTAATTTTTTTTTCAAAAATACTGTAGCAGTTTACAGTATTGTGACCTACATGCCTGTTTCGATTACCTAGTTTGATTACTCTAACAGAAGATACCACAAATGGGATGGTTTGAGCAAACAGTAGTTTATTCTCTTACAGTTTGGAGGCTTTAAGTCCGAGTTCAAAGTGCCAGGTTCTGGGGGCTGGGTGAAAGCCTCTCAACCTTGGGCTTCAGCTCTGCTTCCTGCTCCCAGCCCACTGAAGCTGGAGGCTTTTCTTCACTCAGCTGCTGGCTGCTTAGGCTGACAAACCCAAGATTGACAAGTAACAAGTCACAGTCTCGATATTACCAAACCACACGGCAGGCCATTAATTCAAGTCCATTGAAAGTCCCAAGGTCGGCAGAGCATGGCAGGCTACTGAATAAGGACACAGCTACATGCAGCATTCAAGCGTGCCATAAGCTAAAGACCATTCCCCAAGGCTTCTCCTTATATACAGAAAGCAGACCACATTCCTAAGGCAGCTACTCAGCTGTTCAAAGTAGAGTCCACCATCGAGTTGATTAACAGTCTCATCATGGGGAAAACTGTATCCAGCTGCCCAGCCACTCAACCAGGCCCAGCCAAGTTGATATACAAACTTAAGTACCACAGTGCCTGATTAGAAAAAAAAAAAAAACTCATTAATGAAGAAGATGATAATCAGTAATGGATTTGGCCAGCTATTGCTGGCCTAAGCATTCTGCATAATCCATTGTTGATTAAGTTAATGAAAACACAGTGCAGGTTGTGAAGGCATCCTGTGATGGCAGATGTGAATAAGATTGAAAAGATATAATTCTGGACTATATCAGAGATTAAACCAAGCATGGAGGGGCCAGAGACCGGGGCAAGCATGTGTTTATCAAATGATTTTATATAACTTAAATGTTGGGTTTTTTGTTTGATGGCAGAAGTCAAAGTAAATGAATGTACAGTGCTTTCTTTTCGAATTATAAACAAAAATGCAAGCAGTTGTAACTGTGTCTAACTAGACTTCATTGAATGATCTATTCCATCCATTCAAATCATTCTGAACTTTTCTTTCCTTTTCTTACAGGTGATATCACACAAAAAGGATATGAAAAGAAGAGGTCAAAATTAATTGGCGCCTACCTGCCACAACCTCCAAGTATGTAAACCTTGATTAATGGCATAAATCACCTAGCTTTAGGAGTTAATTGCAACATGCAAGAGGCAAATAAAGGAGAAACAACCGAGACCAAATATCTTTTTAGGCCCTAATCTGCATGAAAATCATGACTTATCTTTAAACAAGTCACATCTAATTCCTTGTTCTGATTATACATACATTTTGTGTCATGTAGAAGGGACATATAACTTTTCTATAAATATACCTAATAAATTGAATAGGCATTTCATCTGTAGATAAAGAACATATGTTTGATAATTTTTGGAATGCTATAATCATAAAATATATGAAAGCATGTATGATTTAAACATGACTTTTGGTTTGGTGAGTTAAACTTTATTGTTATTTATTATGGTTTAAATTAATCCAAGGATTTTGCTAATGTCATGGAGGGCCAAATCTAGAAATTGGCAAAATGATATATTGTACCTGGAGTCATGAAATTATAATGGTTGGTTACTCTTTAAATGTAGTTGTAAAATATTTATTATGTATTCTTCTCCAAGGTGTAAAATCTGTTTCATTCTAGTATTTCACTGTGCAAGTTCATAGACTCTCTTTTCACTTGAGGTAGGTTCTAAGAATTTCAGGAAAAAGAAGAGAGTATTAGACTGGAATTCTAACACCTTTACTCAGTTAGGTTTGAAGGTGACATTGAAAATTTTCTAGGCAATAGGGATGATTTAAAGCTAATGCAATTAATTTTTCCCTCCAAGGAAAAAGGATAGTGACATAAATTTTAAGGTGCTAAATTAACTCTACAGTTCTCACAGCACTGTTCAAATGAAATTTTTAAAACTTCTGTTCCAAGGAATAGAAGTTAAGGAAGTTTAAATACACACACGTACCCACCTATATGTGGGTGCATACATATACCCCTCAATTCTGTTATATCCTGTTATCCTGACACTTTGACTTCTCCGGGAGTATTCTGTTAGATGGTTAAGGAGAGTTCCATGGAGCTCATGTTCCAGGAAATTTAATTTGTGTGTTGAGTTTCTGCTGTTTGTAGTTTTTGTTTTGATTTTCTGTGTGTATCTTTCCTTAATTTTTAAGAAAATTAACATAAAGATGGACCTGTTTTAATAGCCCTTATTAGCTGAGGGGCTAGATTTTCTTGTTGTCTGGCTTATAAAAGGAGGAAACTCTACTCTTTTAGCATGAAGAAAAAGTTATTGGGTTTGGCTGCAACCCATATGTGAAAAAGCTGTAGGAGCAAATGTTGGGGGAAGATAATTAGACAATGGTCTTTTCCTCCCCTTTTCCTTCTTTCTCTCTTCTAACAGAATCACCATGATGACCGTCTTAATAGTACCATCACTTGCTGAATTAATTTCTGCAGGTGTACCTCCAGGTCTTGGAAGAAGGCTGGTGGGGCCAATTGTAGGCTGTTGACATTAGTGGATTTTGATTTCTGTGCCTTACCAAACAAAAGTGAAACAGAAGCAGTTCCTCGCTTTCCCAGAAGACAGTTCTCGAGCCGCAGCTTTGCCAAGAACATGATTGACCCCAATGTTGGCTGAGTGCTGATGGCCTGGCCCGTGTTGTGTGGTCCCTTTGGTGTTATATGTGCTGTTCTGCATGGGGTCGGCAGCTCTGCTCAGCGCTGTAACAAATTAAAAAAAAACTAAGTTTTGAATTAATTAGTTTTTTTTCAACTTGTTACAGCAGCGAATGGAGCTGCCGTGGTTCGGTGTAGACTGCAGCACAGTGAAGGAGCCACGAGAAGAATGCTCCGCTCTGCCAACATCGGAGTGTGTGACATCCGAGAAGCAGCGGCCAGAGAGCGGGTGGCCAGCACCGCAGGAAATCGGCCTCTGTTTTACTTTCGTTTCGGTGAGCTCTACTTTACTGAGAGAGAAAGAGAGAAACAAACCTGCTGGCAGGGTTACACACTTGATAATTGACAGCCTATATAATACTAACCTATATAAAATGGTAGTGTGTAGTGTTAGATAGAATCATATTTTGAGCCCCATATTTTTCAGAAGAGGTCCTATGACTTATCCAGGATCACAATACTTGTTAATTGCAGAGCCCATTGTAGAGCCCAGAGTCATCATCATCCTAGAATCTCAGATCCTAGTTCTGTGTGTTTTTAATTATAATCTATTACCCTGTTTTGATAACCCTTTTTCATAGTTGGAGTACCACTTTTGAAGCACTTGAGAAAGAGGAATACATAACAAATTATAAAATTCTTCTTAAAATTATTGATCATCTACTTATTTTTGTCTTTATATTCAAAGACCTAGGTAAAGGATGAGGTATTCAGCCTTGGTTTTCTGAGGCCTATTAAATGGAATAAATTTGAGATCTGTAGTTCTCTCATATTCCTATCTCCAAAAAGCAAAGCTATGGATTTTGAAAAAGAAAAATCAAACCATCAGTCATAGAGTATTTTCTTAAAGGTAGTGATATTCAGAGGTCAGAATTACTTTGGTAGATAGAATTTGAATATAAGAAGCCAATGGTGCACTTTTTTTTTTTTTTTTTAATAAGAAAATAAGAAACAAATTCTTACATTAGGAATTTATAGGCTGAAAATTTAGGCTTAAGTTCAGGTTAATGCCTCAAATGTTTTGTTTCAGAATCGCGTACAAGCTCTGGTGGTGGTGTACCTAAGGCATTTGACTGTTAACCAGAAGGTTGGCGGTTTAAACCCACCAGTGGCTCCGCAGAAGGAAAATAGGCCAATCTACTTCCATAAAGATTTGCCACCTTGGAAACCCAACGGGGGTCCTCGTGAATCAGAATCAACTTGATGGCAGTGAGTTTTGTTTGTTTTCACAGTAGCAATTGGGTACTAGTATCAAGTTAATTCTGACTCATGACAATCCCATGTCAGTCAGAGTGTAATTGTGCTTCACAGGGTTTTCAGTAGCTAATTTTTTGGAAGTAGATCACCAGGCCTTTCTTCTGAGGTACCTGTAGTTGCACTCAAACTTCCAGCCTTTTGGTTAACCACTTGGTGCTTCAACCATTTGTTCCACACCAAAAGGCTAGAAGTTTATACCACAGTGTAAAATTGGAGGTGCAAGTCCACCCAGAAGTACCTCAGAAGAAGGCGCCAAAAATTAGCCATTAAAACCTTATGGAACACAATTCTACTCTGACACACGTGGTGAAATTGGCTCAGTGGCAGCTGGTGATACCAGGATCTCAAAAGAGGATTCCCGACCTTATCTTTGAGCTTCTGCTCATATTCATCCTATACAAGCCAGCCTGCTGATGAGTATAATGGCGTTGCCATGGAAAAGAATGGAGGGGTTGATGAGTAGCTGACAAAGTTGAGTGCTATTTGTAAGGCTTGTTTCAGAATATATGTAAGCAGTATGTATCTGATTCATATTTGATGACATTAGAACTTATTTGGGAGCTCTGATAGCATAGTGGCTAAGGTACTTGACTGCTAACCAGAAGGCTGGCGGTTCAAACCCACCAGCCACTCCTCGGAAGAAAGGTTGGGCAATCCTATTTCCGTAGTGATACTGCCTCGGAAACCCAAGGAGGGGTCGCTATGAGTCGGGGCCAACTCGACGGCATATAACAACAACAACAACAGAACTTATTTGGGGATATATATATGCTTATATATAAGCATATTTATATGGTTATTTCTGAGAAGTTACCTCGGGGTGAGCAATCATTCATTACATGCAACTTTGTTCTATGAGCAGCAGAAGCCATTAAGTGGAGCCGGTATTCTAAATTAGAGATTTCTTTCTTTCTTCTTCTTCTTCTTCTTTTTTTTTTTTTTTTTTTGACTAGCCCAGTTTTAGAAATAATTCTTCTTGTATGAGATCTTTATGAAAAACATTTTGTTTTCTTTTTCCATCTTTCCTGTCCTACCATGCATTTTCCTTTAAAGAATTTGTATTTGATCTATTTTAACTTATTTTAAAGCATTCTTTTTATTTGCCAGAGAAAATATTAAGAGTCCAGAAAGTATTCTCAAAATGTTTTATAAGATGTTGTTTGAGAGGGAGAAATGATTATGGATGAAAATTGCTTGTGCAGGCATTCAGCAAAAGCTGACAGCTCAGATTGGAGCCACCAAACATTAGTTCTTTCCCAGGGGAAGCATTCAGGAAGCAATTTGACTTCCTCGATTTTCATTGTTCTTTAGACAAAGTAAGTGACTCCACTATGGAAGTAGCTAATAGTGACTCAGATACCAACGGGAAGACGCATTGTCTTTGGTGAAGGTGATGCTGAATGCTTTCCTAAATCTTGATAAGGCCCTTAGCTGATTCATATGTCTAAAGTGTGTCAGAAGCTAGAAAGAAAAAAATGAAAATTACATATTTAATGAAGGAAGAAGTCAGAAAAATATATTGCCTTTTGAAAACCATTTTTCCAAGAGAAAATACTGCTTAGGAGAACTTACTATTCATTTAGTACTTACTGTCTTTCAGTTTTTTGGGTATGTAATAACTCTTTCAAGATTATACTTCATTAATAGCTAAATCTGATTAATCTCGTAAAAATAGGAAATAAAATCCACTGCCTATCACTCTCTTTAGGGATATTTTAAGAACATAGTGTCAACTTTTATAATTTATTCTCTACTGCTTTTAAGACATAGACCAGAGTGCTATAAAGTAGTAAAATCTTAATGTACCGTAAATAGTAAAACTTTACTTGCCCAGATATAATCTCTGTCTCTTAACATGTATATTAACTAGATTTTATCTTTTGCATGATTTCTCATAAAATAGTTTTCAGAATTGAGCATTTCCTGTAGATGTAGTTTTCTTGTTGAAGCTGAGGCAGATAACTTTCTGTACTCATTTCCAGTTCCACAGATTTACTTGTAGGTTGCCCAGTCTTCCTTCCAAGGAAAGGCTGGTGGGATTGAACCACCAGCCTTCTGGTTAGCAGTCAGATGCGTTAGGCACTACACCAGCAGAGCTCCTTTGTAGTTGAGTAGTTTTGAAAATCTTGGTGAATTCAGCTAATGTGCCCCAGTTGTCAAG